CGGTCCGGAAATTAGGTCCAACTCGGCAGGTTTTACCTAAGGAGTGAACCTTAATCTACGAAGCGTCATTTTTAATTAAAATTAGAACGATGAATAATGTCGAACAGGTTTCTTTTTAAACTGTAGATATAAAATTCTGACGTAGATGATTATGATTCTTTAGGATGCTAGACTTAATTCTACTGATTACTAAATTACTGTATTTAGCTGGTCAAAATGAAACAGATGACCAGAAGGTTAAACTAAATACTCAGTTTCTAGCACTGTTAATTTACTTCGATATCAGATATGTTACGGATAACGTAATTTTCTTCGAGTTAAAACTTCTACCATAATTTCGTTGTGAAATGGAACGAGCAAATGTTAATAAACGTAACGTTTATCAAAAACATTCATTGTCTGCAATCTGATTATTACAATTCTTGACAAATGTGGCACTAAAATTGTTCCAATTTTTTATAACCTCGAATCGAGCTTAAGAAAAAAAAAATTCTCTATTCTCGAACACTGAATTAAGACATACAAATCTCTTCGTCAGGTAGTCTATTGCGAAGTTGTTAATAATAATTTTATTTCCATATAGAACGTTATATCTCACACACTTGAATGCTTCTTGGTTGCACTGAAACTTCTTATCCGATAGATTAATAATAAAGACGTCACATATTTTATGTCTTGACGAAGTAATGCAAAGTTAAAGTAATGCAGGCATATTGCACTGGATGTAATACAGAATAAAGCAATGGCGTTATGAAAGTTTTCATTAACGTAATTTATGTGAATTGCGTTATGAGTTGTAAGCACATTTCAGAGCGATTGGCAAGATAAAGTACATTCATAATGGTCGGTATTCTCAGGTGTATAATCTATTAAACATAAACAATTATTATGAAACCAATGCGATCACTTTAATAAATTACAAAAACTGAGAGAAAAAGAAACTCGTGTCTTAATTACTACTTTTTATAAAATATGAACAAACATTATCATCTCAAAGTTTTATAATCAACAGATTCTTTATAGGAGGTATCTCTGTAAATAAAAATTATTTGGATTGTATCTGAATTTTATCTTTGCCCAACAAAACTCATTATGCAGTTTACAAATTCGTTATCAGTTTTTACAGACTTCAAACACTGATCGTAGTAGTACTGTTTGATACATACGTAATAAAATTTTGTTTAAATATATAGGCTTCAAAACTAATTTATTGTGTACATGGCTGCGAAATATTTATGGTCTTTATCTTGGATAGATAAATCGTTAATATAAAATTAAATATATTATAAAAAATAACCAGGTAGCAACATTTTTTATTTCAGCCTACTGATCCTAAGAACATTCAATTATTCTATTGGTAAAATCAAAACGAAGAGCTCCATAAACAAAAATGTGGAAATATTATATTACTATGATGTACACAAAATAAGGTCCGTTTCCTCCACAGGGCCTACGCAGTAACAAGTTTATAATTAGAATTTTGTACATGTATAGGCAGATACGTAGTAAAAATTACATAACATGTTTATTGAACGATTTGTTTCTGCAGCTGATCAGTTTATTTTCAAGGATTCTAGGTTAGTACAATCGATTTATTAATCTCCTACTGTTTACCTGTTTATCTGATATCTATAGTCAAAGAATTCTTCTCGTCTTTTGCAACGGGTTTGTTCGCTACAAAAAGAGATACTCGGTTTGCCAGCACGCATCAAACTTCGCTAGACTCTTATAATTAAATTGCTTGGAATTACTACATAAGAGTAACTGTGTGTTTACCATAATAGATATACGCCCATTTAATTTTATTTTAGATTCTCGTCATTAGTGTAAAAGACATTTACTTACGATTAAATGTAACTTAACTAAAGACTACGTGGGGAGTTGGAACAGAGAGACACTTGGGAAATAACGTAGAGTAGTTTAATGTTATTCGTGAAATCTGTTCTTATAAACTCCGTGTTAAATGCGGTCAAGGTATTCTGAAAACTTTCTGACGGACACGTGTCAACTTCAGAACTTCTACAACTCATATTTTGTTCAGGAATTTCCAGTCTACAAAATAGGGCCATGAACAATGCAGCAAGAGTCGGTAAAAGCTCTATATCCGCATTATATTATTACTGTTTTCATTCAATTTAAAAGCTCAACTTAAAAGTCTTTTTCATAAACAACCGTACACTGTGTTCATGTACATAGTGAATAATCTAATATTTAAATATTCAAGCCCTGCCTCTAAAAAAACACAATGCGTCTCCATTAAAAACAGTTAATGCTGTTTTGGGAAATAACGGGTTTACTTGGAGAATTGTGTTAAACTGATAAACAAACTGTCGTGAGCGTGAAAAATTCAAAATTGTTTCACGTTAAGAGACGTTTGTGGAACACGTAGAAAAAACTGTGCTATGGTTTTAATTATCTCTATGCAACGTCAGAAGCTTAGAGTCGCACTGTTAATCAAGAAATTCCCTCTCTTTTATGAAACCCACATGTTCATTACTGTGTTCGCAAACGCCCGCCAACTGTCTTCATCCTGAACTAGATGGATCCAGACCACACCCTCCTACCTACTCCCATACGATTTATTTTAATACTATCCTCCTACATTGGCTCAGGTCTTCCGAGCGATCTCTTCCGTTGACGGTATAGAATCAAAATATTGTGTGTATTTATCACATGCAAGCTATATTCTCCTCCCATCTAATCCCCTTTTGATTTTCTCGTCCTAATAATAACGTGCGAAAAGTATAAGATATTATGCAGTTTTCTCAATCCACATGTAACTTCGGTTCTTTTACACCCAAATCTTCTCTTTAACCCATGTAAAACATTCGCTATATTTTTAAGTGCACACAATAACTTAAATAATATCTGTATCGACGACTGCTGTTCAGCGAGTATTGAAATTGAAATAAGGAACGCAAATATCTTCCATATATTCACAATACTTGAATCACTCGCTTCGTAATTTGAATTCAAACTTTTATTTTAAATCGCGTTCTCTGACCATTTTATAATAATTTTTGTTTCTTTGCCTGTTGTCTTTATGGGAAATTTCGAAAACTTTTATCGGACAGCTGGTAAGATTACTTCTACGAGCGGTCAGCCCCAATCATGGGGCCTCTTTCTACACAGAACAGATTAGAGAAAGACGAAGACAAACATCGATACCTCGAGTGGAATACAAGCTCATGTTTCCAGTATCCAAGCACATTGAAGACCAAACCATAAACCGAGAGGCCACTGTGATTCGCAGATATAATTTTAATAATAATAATAATAATCTCTATAGTACAACTTTATTTAGTTTGGCAAAACATTGTGGCATGTTTGAACCTTTAGCAATTAGTTTCAGACCTCTCGGAATTTAAATCTGTATTATACCACTTAGTCACGCATTATACATGACTAATACAATACATAAGTTGTAAAATTTTGTAACTGATTCACTGCTTTTGCTCATTTTGTTTTATGTCACGAAACTACACATATCTGGATTATCTTAAAAAAACAAAAGAAAAATATAAAACTTTTATATTTGTATAATTATCACAAATATTAATTCATCAATATTTTGTATTAAGAACTGAAACATTATCAATGTACAATTTTCTTTTAATGCACATAACACAATTTTCAATATTCTATTCCTTCTACTCTCTTTTGTTACTATCTGAGAATGCGTTTAATTTTCATATATTCCTCCGTAGTATAGAACAATGTATAAGTTAATTTGGATCACTACATGTTTCTACTTCGAATTTCGTTTGCCTTACATTATCTCATATCTTTCATGAGTGAGCATTCAGTGTATGCTGTTAGTGAATGGACTGTTCTAACAGACGATTTGTGCCATACAAGAATAAATATTACCAGTTTCAAGTTTAAATACAACAATAAATTGTCGTTGCAGACCTAGTATTTTATTTACGATTAATTCATTTCTATGTGGCTGCTGCATATTTGCTATATCGGCGTGAACATTATTTTAAAGTGGATGCCAGGAAAATCATTTTATGATTTCCAAATAGTTTGGACCAAATACAAATATAATCCTAAGAATAACGACCATTTCCTTCTGAATGTACGTAATAATGCAGCAGAACGGCAGTGGTTTGATTTGTGTTGTTTAAGAACAAACAAACCTCAGACGAAAAGGGATAATTTCTCGTTGCAAACAAACAATTCTGTATTAGATAAAATAATTCTGCAGAGTAAATATTAACAGTACACTTAACAACGCTCATTTGTGTTTGATCTAAAAAAATGTATGACCTCAAATATCATATTCAAATGTTCACATATTCTTGCCTGTTAAACAGTGCAGGATGGTTGGTATAACATCGAAGTCCACACGCGTAACTAGATTTCATTCCCAGGTTGCTTATGCGTCGAACACAAAATTAATAGCGTATGTAATAATACTGTAGAGTTTGAGGAACGATAATTACTGAAGGTGGGAAATAACACATTATACAGGGAAAGTGCTTGATACTTTAACAGCAGTGTTTGATTTGACTGAAGAAAAATTAGTACACAAGGCCCAATCAAATACACAGCCTTCTGTTTCTTCAACTTAGCAGTCAGTTAACACTTGCTGCATGTAAACTTCGAAATACATATTGCATTTCTCTTGTAGCGTTTTTCCAGTCACTCTCGTCTCCATAATGTTGGTAGTTAGTGACATTTATCGTCTATAAGTTTTTCTTATGCGAACTGCGACGTATATATACATAATAAGGTATTGATTTTCGATTAAGATGTACTGGTGCGGGGGATTACATTTATGCAATGACCTTCAAAAACAGAAAATTGATTTTCAATTGTTGTCTGTCAAAAAATATTAAGAATAAATTTACTTAGTCTTTACTAGAGCAAAAAAGTTACTTCATTTACCACTACTGTGATCAAGAAAAACTCGCACGTTGTCAATTGCAACATTTTAAAATATGGAGTACTTAGGTGTTTCG